ATATATATATATATTTAAAACACACACACACATGCATATATGGTATATCAGTCTGGCGAGTAAACTAAAAAATGTACTAGCCAATGGCGATTCAATTGCCAAGGTGTCCGTAGAGGGTTGAAGATTGCAACTCAAGGCTGGCAGTCATGCATATGCTCTGGAACAGAGTAATATCGCGTCCACATCGCAGGCTTTGCGATTAGGAAATCGCAACGTCTCAAATCGCGATTTCGATTCGATTTCGATTAATCGCACAGCCCTAGTCCTAAACCAAGACTTTCTTTTCTCTTTGGAACATGAAAAGAGATGTTAAGCAGAATGTTCATCTTGCTCTTTTTCGTACAGTGAACACATTTAGTGGCCATTGGCTGTTCCGAAATGAACAAAAAAAGCCATAAAATACTATAAAAGTCATCTTTACTGTGATTACATTACGCGATTACACTTGTCATCGACGTTTGGTGATATGGAACTTCACTTGACAAGTAGGAACGACTTGAGGTTTTGTTCCACGGAAGAATAAGGTCAGATGGGTTGGGAACAACATGAGGGTAACTAAATTAATTTTGGTAAACTATTCCTTACAGTGTGATATTGTCCTTCCTTCACTGATCCGTGAAGATTTTCTCAAGGCTCAAATGATTTATGAGGATTTCCAAATTGCTAAAGGAATTCCAGTTACCATCCATTTCCTAAAAATAGTCCTTCAGCCTGCTGCACTCATAAAGCTCTTAGTGTTTCCAGTGAGTAGAGAGTCAGAAGACGCTGCATGGGTATTTAAACGAGTAGAACTGCAGTCTCTGGTGCTGTCACGATGGGTTTCCCGCAGGGGGTTGATGACTGAGGTAATGTTGTTTAAAAGCCCCAGGCGGCTGCTGGTATCATGCCGGCAAACCTATTTTTAGATGTGTCTGACACAATGGCCCAGTGAACCCTCAGCCAAGGACAAAGAGAATAACAGCAGAAGGAACGGCCAGTCTGCACTGTGTGTGTGTGTTTGGATAATTATCTCAAAGCGTCTCTCACACAGTAAAGTACTACACCAGATCAGTGGAAGAAAAGTAGCATGTAGCATGAACTACACAAATGAAATAATAAAAAAATTAAAAATCTTGTGGAAAAACCTTCAGAAAACATGGGTTAAGACCACAGATAACCTATTTTTCAGCCTAAGCTGTACTTGTATCCACCACAAGTCCACTTTTGCCACTTTTGCACGGTTTGGCATAACAAAGGAAGACGGCAAACAGCTAAACTCAGTTTTGTTCCTTGCCTCTGAGGACTTGGGGCTGGTGATGGTGTTACTGTGGCAATTGAATGACTTGCAGCCCATTAATATGAACCGATGTTTTACTAAATTATTCCTACAATTAAATTTAAAAATAGAAGTAGGATCAGCATGATGGCAATAAGAAAAAATACACTCTTGTCATGAATGAAGCAAGTTTTGGAGCTTCATATGTCAATGGCTGGAGGAAATTTGCCCTTTGGTCTTCTCCACCTGGTCGTGCTTCTAATTGTGGAATCCCCATGAAATCTGACGTGATTTTTAAACACATTGGCTCATTGTCTCTTTATTTATGAAAACATAAAGTAATCCACCTTACTGGCACCAAAAACAGTGTGAGCTTTGCATGGCATAATCCGCTGTCATGCTTCCTGACTGCAGAAAGTCCTTGAAAATGATTTTTGAAGTAAACATTTTTGAAGTAAGGTATGATATTGATGTTGACGTGGCCTTCAATGTGGCTACATTTGCTCTTGGCGATCTAGAGCTCCTGAAATCTCATATAAAGTACCCTTTGAAATGGGAAACAGTCTTGAAAATATGCGCTACAGGCAGAACTGTAAAAACATCTCACATGTGGATGTACAGTGTAGTTTGTGCATTATGTATGTTAAAGATCCCATAAAATCAAACATGATTGTGAATGTGATACTGTTTTTACAATATCAGTAAGCAGGAAGATAATACGAAGTAACATACATTTTAGTTACTTTGTCAATTTTTTTCTCCGCAAATAAAAATAGTTCCAAACTGAATCAACCGCAGATGTGTTTTGTTCCTGAATGAATTACTTGAGTGAATAATTCAATGACTCACTTGTAAAGGCAGTCACTTATTTTGGTCTCAAATCAGTGTTTTTGAACAAACTGGTTGAGTGAATGATTCAATGACTCACTCGAATATCAATGTTGCCTGCACTAACCACTAACCCACAGACTGTCCAGAACGTTGCAAACACAGACAAGTGGAGCAATATAAACAGTGAAACTCTATTGTACTAAATATCAGCACTCTTGGTTAACTAGACAGAACTAACTGTCATATAATGCAGAATATCATGCAGAATTTATACAGTCTTCTGCTAATCTTAACCTTTTCACTCACTGTGCAACGTCACACGAGTCGTGAGTGGCTGTGCGAGTCTTCTCTTTGATGATATTAATTGTGATGGCTGTATCGCATTGCGGCACTGCTGCTGGGGTAAACACGTCCAGATACTCCTGAATCATTTGTACATGACATAGCTGCGGTTTTCTTCTTTGTTTTCTGTTTTAATGGGATTGATATATCAAACTTTTGGACACAGGTCCCCCTGTGGGCCGCATTTACTCTGTCAACCTATGGCTTTCAAATATAGTTTACAAATCCAGTATGAATCTGATATCTGCTAGTCTGACCTACGTGTAAACACTCAAGCCTAAGAAACACAATTAGATATGTCTTAATGTCATTTGAATATTAGAGACCAGACAAATGTGTCAAAAGTTGTGCATTGCAGTATAAATGTAGCAATTGACTTGTTCCAGAAGAGATCATCCAGTATCGCTTTCCGAATGTGTTTGTCCTTCAAAGTGTTAACTGCCCCCTCTCTGAGAGCTTTATGAAGACCCTGCTTCATCCGCTTTGTTGATTTTTATGGCAACACAGACCCCTGCTGATGAGCTGACCTTGTTTGGGTGCTTCTGTGCCGGTAGAGGCTCTTGATGGTTCGACCTTTCAGATGTGTCTGTGAGCTGTCATTTTTCTTCTCTGTGGGGTTTTATGTCTGGATTTATGGCAGCATCTTAGTCTTTTTCACTCTTTCGGTCATCAAAGGTTTCATTTTAACTGTTTACTTCACATCCTGTCTGATATTGTGTCTGATGATAAATTCTTAGGGTGGAAGTTGCGATATCCCATACCTGAAAAACAGCACAATTTTCTACTTCCAAAGAATTTATTAGATAACAAGAGAGAAAGATATATATCTCACTTTGTCATTTTAACAGTTAAATGTAATTAATAGCAAATTATGACTTTTTTTTTCCCCAAGCATTGAATTCATAAAGAACAAGGCAAACAAAAACACACAAATGAAGATTGCAGTGCTTGAAGTTTTTAACAAACATCATCAGGAGTTCAAGTAAACGTGCAAAAATAGATGAAAAATAATACAAAAATAATTAATTATAAAATTTACTTAAATAGTTTGCATAGTCTTCAGTGGATAATTATCAGGTTTCAAACAAATAAAGGGACAGTTCACCCAAAAATGAATTTCTGTCATCATTTACTCACCCTCATGTTGTTCCAAACCTGTCTGACTTTCTTTTGTTTGTCGAACATAAAAGAAGATATTTTGAGAAATTGAGTTTTTTGTCAATACAAAGCCAATGATGATAAAACTAGTTGGTTACTAACATTTTTCAAAATATGTTTTGTATTCTGTAGTAGACAGTCAACAGTTCTTTAATTATTGATTCCATGCTGATGGTTGAGAAGAAAGCCTGAAACCAATTTTTAAAATTGTTTTATTATTGCTTTTAGACACAATTTCTAGATGATTATTATACTTTATTTTTTAAAATTATTTTCATAATATCACTTGTAATCCTAATTTATAATAATTCTAAAATGCAAAATTATTTGTAATATTATTTATAATTTGCTAGTGTTATTCTTGTCATTTATACCATTATACTGTTTTTTTTCAGTCTTTGTTTTAAGTAAGTAGCTAGATTTTTCTATGAATTTTACAGACAAATACACTACGGCATAATTTTTAGGGATGCACGATATATCGGCCACCATATCGGTATCAGCCGATAAATGCAAATTTTTTCTGTTATCGGTATCTTAATGCCGAAAAATAATGCATTATTTCCTTCAGAGACACTTCAGATGCGTGCTGTTCGCCATGATGGTTTTGAGATGCTTGAAATATGATTGGAATCACTTCGAAAAGGACAATACACTTAAGTGCAACATGTGCAGGGCAAGTCTGTCATAAAGGCTACATAAAATTATAATGAGAACATTGTAAATAATGTTGTGGAATCTTTGTGCGCCCATGTTTTGTGCGTGAGTTGAGCGAGTCCACAACGGAGCTACCTCCATGACAGTTAAATTCGCTTGTGCATTTGCAGCCTTTTGTGCAATTGTACGTTGTAATATTGTGTTTATTTGATGTATATCTGATTTATCTCATATAGAATGCGTTTGGTTAAGTTAATAGAGCGTTAATAGAGCACTTCAGTTTACCGGTGATCATCTTTAGCTCAGTGCACGTAGCTCAAACAGCAGTGCACAACATTAATAACTATGATTGGGAATGTCGTGTATATAACATTGTAATGAGAACATTATTATAATAAAACGTTGTGATTTCTTTGGGTTTAGTTGCCATGTCTCAGCGCATTGTTATGGGAAGAGCGCTTCCACAACAGGAGTTACACATTCTGACTACAGCACGCAATAACTGCGTCATTTTGTACATATATAAGTTGTAATATTATGTTTATGTTGTATTAATATCTGATTAATCTCAGGATGCATTTCCTTGAGTTAAATAAGCTGCCAGCAAAGCACTTCAGTTTACCATGTTCATTCAGCTCTTCAGCTTCTGCACGTGCAGCTCGAACAGCAATGCACAACATTAATAACTATAACTGGGACTGTCATATACATAACATTATAAAAAGAAAACTACCGTAATAAAAAGTTGTAAATTCTCTGGGGTTTATTTGCCGTGTTTCAGCGCGTTTTTACAGGATGAGCCAAGAGCGCATCCACGAGTTACACATCTTACTAGCGCATAACTTAGTTCAAGATAACTTGTGCATTTCCGTCTTTTTGTGCATATACAAGTTGTAATATGTTTATGTTCTATAAATATCTGATTCTCATATAGCATAATTAACTCGCTATAACAAGCGCTTCAGTTTACCGATGTTCATTCAGCTCTTCAGCTACAGCGCACGCAGCTCAAACGGCTGCTATTTAAAACAGTGGTATTAATTTGTTACTTTTTCTAAATCATTGATGCATCTTTTAATAATAACCACCACTTTTATTTTTCTCTTATTATTTTCATCAACAATATGGTTTAGTAATTAAAATCATTTAATTATTGTCCGTGCAGAGGCTATTCCGTTTTATTGATCCATGGCGCATTCGTTTTGATTCTTTACACGTTTAATGATGTCCAGTGACTTGTTTGCATTATTTATGCATTATTTTATTTTTGACTTTTTTTTATGACGAAATTTGGTAATGGGAGAGTAAAATTATTTTTAAAACGTACACCGTTCAAACTAGGCTGCTTATGTTGAAGTGTTTGGGATGTGGCTTTTAATGATGAGACCTTTTTTGTAATCAGGCTCTCAAAAAGTATATAAAAATTTGGATATAGATTTATCGGCCAACATATCGGTTATCGGCTTTCAAAAATAAAGAATTATCGGTATCGGCCAAAATTTTCATATCGGTGCATCCCTAATTAAAATAATGCATAATATAATATGACTGAAGTCATAAAAAGGTCTAAATATCAGAAACTACAAGTTGTATTATGTTTATGTTCTATAAATATCTGATTCTCATATAGCATAATTAACTCGCTATAACAAGCGCTTCAGTTTACCGATGTTCATTCAGCTCTTCAGCTACAGCGCACGCAGCTCAAACGGCTGCTATTTAAAACAGTGGTATTAATTTGTTACTTTTTCAAAATCATTGATACATTATTAATAATAACAACCATTTTTATTTTTCTCTTATTATTTTCATCAACAATATGGTTTAGTAATTAAAATCATTTAATTATTGTCCGTGCAGAGGCTATTCCGTTTTATTGATCTATGGCGCATTCATTTTGATTCTTTACACGTGTAATGATGTCCAGTGACTTTTATTTTATTTATTTGTAAGACTTTTTTATGACTAAATTTGGTAATGGGAGAGTAAAATTATTTTTAAAACGTACACTGTTCAAACTAGGTTGCTTATGTTGAAGTGTTGGGGATGTGGCTTTTTAATTATGAGACCTTTTTTGTAATCAGGCTCTCAAAAAGTATATACAAATTTGGATATAGATTTATCGGCCAACATATCGGTTATCGGCTTTCAAAAATAAAGAATTATCGGTTATCGGCCAAAATTTTCATATCGGTGCATCCCTAATAATTTTATTTTAACTAACCATCTGAATGGTCATTTAAGACATTATTACAGCATTATGTTTCTGTGAAGTTGCTTTGGAACTCTGTCCAATGTGAAAAGAATTGTATAAATATAATTGATTAGACTTGAATGTTATTTAAACATAGCTGATGATGTTCATCATTTGTAAGTCACTTTGGATAAAAACATCTGCTACACAAGTAAAATAGTCATTATTGAAACAATACATAAAATGAGTTACTTTACCTATGAATACTGTTGATATAGCTGTTCTTTGTGAATACTAGTATGAAGGAAACACTGATGCAAACTCTGTGTGTCTATCCACTTTTGAACACATGGCTATCTACACACAACCCCTCTCTGTTAGTATGATGAAGTGTGTCAGCTGCCAAGATGTGTCTATGAGAGAAGGATTACACCTCTGTAAGAGCTCATCACAGCTGGCTTATCTTTTGTGTTGGAGAGAGAGGGAGGTTATAGGAACAACCTCAGTGCAGTTTATCTGTGTATCAAAGCTTCTGTCACCTGCAGTTTGTCAACGCTCACCTCTGTGAAGGGTAAAACGCTGTTTCTTTGGCAGCCCTTAATCGTAAATGGCTTTGTCTCAGCAGCGGAGCCGTGCGCGCACACTCTCACACACATTTTATTCATGTCCCCCCCTGTGTCATCTTTCTGAACAAATATTGCTTTGGTGTTCTGCGTTATTTTTGAAACCTCTTTTACGTACCTTGGGTATTATGGGCTGGCGGGAATCTCTGTACAGTTTATCCCTTTTTACCTGACGCTTTCAAAGTCTCTTTCTGTGCTTGCGTTCAGATCTTCAATGCATTGCAGTTGGGGAAAACATTAAGAGGTGAAATGCGTATGAGCGAGATTGATGGCCTGCGCTTCTCTCGTGGTGGGTTTTGCGCGCTCTGCCTCGAGCCGTGGGCTTTTTCATCATCTTCCATTAAAGAGAATTTGAAATGCGCTTTCTGGCCTCTATTTATTTAATCAAGCACTTCCTTTAAAAGACTAATCAAATAAACATGTGCTGGACCTTGCAGACGTAATTAGACCACTTTTGGTCTCTCCTAGTCAATTCTTTCTACTTTTTTGCCTTTTCAATTAGAGAAATTGGGTTTAGGAAAAGCTCTCAAGGATGATGGATGCTCTTCTCTAGCTTGTAGAATCATGGGATCACAGGTTTTTTTCCCTCTATTCACCATGACAGCTGGTATACTGAAGGTCACAGAGGAGTTGGGTGGCTTTTAACTTTCGAATTGTAAATCTGTAAGATTAAAGAGTAAGTTCACCCAGGTGAAGTGACCAGGTGGCATGCACTACACGACTTTTCAAATCTGAACAGATTTTAAAACACTTGGGATCATAAACTTGCCGACTTTGTAAATAGTTACAGAAGAAAAACCTGCCATACACTAAACGACTGAGGATTGCACACTATGCTTTCGGCAATTAGTCCAGACTGTAAATCGGGGGAAAATTGGGGCAAAAATGTATTACAGACTTTACTGAGGTTGGCTAGTTTACTTACATTTTTTATTTTTTATTTATTTGATTTGTGCTGATGCTGTTAGGAATCAAAATTTTTTTTTCTTAACTTTATTATTAAAAAAAATATTTTATAGAATGCAATATATCATTGTCATGAAGTAAAATTGCTTCTATCGTGATTTTAGATATTGGTCATATAGCCCACCCCTAGATTCAATAGTTTATTACTTTAGCTAATATATTTTCCTTCAGCTCACATTTAATTTTTATTATCATTATTCATAATATTTTTCTCATATAATATTTATCTCATAGCCTGGTTGCACTACAGCTCTTGTTACACATACGGTGTGCCCTTTTGGAGTCGTTTCACCATAGTAACAGTAAAAACATTAACCATGTGGATTTGGTAGTAAATATATTTTGCTTCCTCTGTGCTAGTCAGATTTATTTAAAATCTCAGCCTGCTTCATATCACAAGGAACAGTGGGTGGGAATTTTAATGAATGCATTTTTGTTGTGGATTTAGTTTTTCAGCTGACGGCTTTCATCCCGTTCCACAGCCATAAATGCCCAGGATTGTAAAAAATCACTGTGTTTTTTTTTTAAGGTTCCTTGTTGGTGTCATGTTCCTCACAGCACTGTACACTCTCTTATCATATAAAACGCTTAAAGTCTTCCTGTTTATTTCCAGCACAGAAATACTTTTTTTTTTATCTCAAGGAATGGCTCTAGTGAAGGTTTTGCGTAGTAAATTCACTTCCTTAACATTTAAGTATCCTTATGGAGAGTTTGTGCAAACATCCACATCGCTGTAATCAGATGCATTCTTAACTGCTGCTTTCTCACCGCTCTTCTTCTTCTTTGTCTTCTTCTCTTGAATTGCATCTAAGAGGGCTGAATTACAGTCTTGTGCTATAGCGCCACACTGGTCAAACTGCATTATTGCAGGCCCTTATATTAGTTTACATGGGATCAAACGACTACTCGACAACAAAAATATTTGTTGACAATTTTTTATTGTCGACGTTGTCGTAATTTCGACTAATCGTTTCAGCCCTAATATATGATGGAAATACCTAATTCTTGGCCTCTATCCACCTTTTCTCCTCATTCAACCTAAGCACAAGAAACCGAAACAACGTACACTCTGTGTGTTTTCATCACACTTTTCCATTATTGACCACTTCTGTGTCCTGAGCTTTTTTAAGACTCCGTGCTCCACAACTTGTTCTCCATAATTAGAACGAGCACGTAGCTGATGGAAAATGAGGGAGGGGAGAGAGGCGCCAGGGCCGTGCTGATGAGGCAGACGAGAGAGCCGTCTGATTGGCTGAGCCGTTGGCAGGGGACGTAAGGGGGGATGGGAATCTGCGACGCCATTGGCTGAAGCTGCTCTTCGGGGAGGAAGTGAAGGATAGATCGAGGCCTAACTCGGCTGTGTGTGTGCGTCTCGCACTCGTTTTCTCTCTGAAGCCTCTACAGGGATCCAGGCTGCTCTCATCAACAGCTCATCAAATCAAGCACAGCCTTGCCGTTGTCTACTGTGTCTCACTCGCTCGGCAGACGCATACATTAGTCACTGCTTGCGTGAGAGACGAAACACCCCAAGCCCTTTTATGTTTTGTCGAAATCTTTTATCTGCCCTTTTATTCTCCTTCATTAGAGACGTGCAAAACGAGCTACAAAATCAA